TCGCCTCTATCTGGTAAAACTCTTGGTAAAGCATCTTAGTCTTAGTCTATCATCGCCTCTATCTGGTAAAGCCTCTTGGTCTTAGTCTAACATCGCCTCTATCTGGTAAAGACTCTTGGTCTTAGTTCAACATCGGCTCTATCCGGTAAAGCCTCTTAGTCTTAGACTATCATCGCTCTATCTGGTAAAGCCTCTTATTCTCGGCTCTAGTCTCTTGGTCTATCGCCTCCATCTGGAAAAGCCTCTTAGTCTTAGTCTATCATCGCCTCTATCTGGTAAAGCTCTTAGTCTTAGTCTAACATCGCCTCTCTCTGGTAAAAAGCCTCTTAGTCTTAGTCTATCATCGCCTCTATCTGGTAAAAGTCTTAGTCTACTCTTAGTCTTAGTCTAACATCGCCTTGGTCTTAGTGCTATCTGGTAAAGCCTCTTTGTCTTAGTCTATCATCGCCTCTATCTGGTAAAGCCTCTTAGTCTAACATCACCTCTATCTGGTAAAGACTCTTAGTCTTAGTCTAACATCGGCTCTATCTGGTAAAGCCTCTTAGTCTTAGTCTATCATCGCCTCTATCTGGTAAAGCCTCTTAGTCTTAGTCTATCATCGCCTCTATCTGGTAAAGCCTCTTGTTCTTAGTCTATCATCGCCTCTATCTGGTAAAGCCTCTTAGTCTTGGCCTCTAACATCTTAGGCTCTCTATCTGGTAAAGCCTCTTAGTCTTGGTCTAACATCGCTATCTGGGTAAAAGCTCTTGGTCTTAGTCTAACATCGCCTCTATCTGGTAAAGCCTCTTAGTCTTGGTCTAACATCGGCTCTCTCTGGTAAAGCCTCTTAGTCTTAGTCTATCATCGCCTCTCTCTGGTATCTGGTCTAAAGCCTCTTCTCTGGTCTTAGTCTAACATCGGCTCTATCTGGTAAAGACTCTTAGTCTTGAAACATCGTCTAACTGGTAAAGCCTTTAGTCTTATATCTCGCCTCTAAAGCCTCTTAGTCTTAGTCTAACATCGCCTCTATCTGGTAAAAGACTCTTAGTCTTAGTCTTAACATCATCGCTCTATCTGGTAAAAACCTCTTAGTCTTAGTCTAACATCGCCTCTATCTGGTAAAGCCTCTTAGTCTTAGTCTATCATCGCCTCTATCTGGTAAAGCCTCTTAGTCTTGGTCTAACATCGCCTCTATCTGGTAAAGCCTCTTGGTCTTAGTCTAACATCGCCTCTATCTGGTAAAGCCTCTTAGTCTTAGTCTAACATCGGCTCTATCTGGTAAAGACTCTTTGTCTTAGTCTATCATCGCCTCTATCTGGTAAAGCCTCTTGGTCTAGTCTTAGTCTAACATCTTGGTGCCAGTCCATCCTCTCTATCTGGTAAAGCCTCTTGGTCTTGTCTATCATCTCTATCTGGTAAAGTCTTGGTCTTAACTATCATCGCCTCTCTGGTAAAGCCTCTGGTCTTGAAATCGCCTCTTGGTCTTAGTCTTAGTCTAACATCGGCTCTATCTGGTAAAGCCTCTTAGTCTTAGTCTAAACATCGGCTCTATCTGGTAAAGCCTCTTGGTCTTAGTCTAACATCGGCTCTATCTGGTAAAGCCTCTTGTCTTAGTCTAACATCGCCTCTATCTGGTAAGCCTCTTGTCTTAGTCTAACATCGCCTCTATCTTCTTAGGTCTTAGTCTTAGTCTTGTCAACATCGGCTCTATCTGGTAAAGCCTCTTAGTCTTAGTCTATCATCGCCTCTATCTGTTAAAGCCTCTTGGGTTTAGTCCAATATCGGCTCTATCTGGTAAAGCCTCTTGGTCTTAGTCTAACATCGCTCTATCTCCTATCTGGTAAAAGCTCTCTTAGTCTTAGTCTAACATCGCCTCTATCTGGTAAAGCCTTTTTAGTCTTAGTCTAACATCACGCATCTGGTAAAGCCTCTTGGTCTTGGTCTGCCTCTATCTTTCTTGGAAACATCGGCTCTATCTGGTAAAAGCATCTTAATATCGGTCTTGTCTAACATCGCCTCTATCTGGTAAAACCTCTTAGTCTTGAGCCTCTAACATCGGCTCTATCTGGTAATGCCTCTTAGTCATAGTCTAACGTCGGCTCTATCTGGTAAAGCCTCTTGGTCTTAGTCTAAAATCGCCTCTATCTGGTAAAGCCTCTTAGTCTTAGCTCAACATCGCCTCTTTCTGGTAAAGCCTCTTAGTCTTGGTCTATCATCGCCTCTATCTGGTAAAAGCCTCTTGGTCTTAGTCTAACATCGCCTCTCTCTGGTAAAGCCTCTTGGTCTTAGTCTATCATCGCCTCTATCTGGTAAAGCCTCTTGGTCTTAGTCTCAACCTCTTATCTTAGTCTATCTCCTCTCTCTGGTAAAGCCTCTTAGTCTTAGTCTATCATCGCCTCTCTATCTTAGTCTTAGTCTAAAGCCTCTATCTGGTAGTCTTAGTCTTAGTCTAACATCGCCTCTCTCTGGTAAAGCCTCTTAGTCTTAGACTATCATCGCCTCTATCTTGGGTAAATCGCCTCTCAAAGTCTTGGTCTATCTATCGCTCTCTGGTAAAGCTCTGGTAAACATCGCCTCTAGTCCTCTTAGTCTTGACTATCATCGCCTCTATCTGGTAAAGCCTCTTGGTCTTAGTCTAACATCGCCTCTCTCTGGTAAAGCCTCTTAGTCTTAGTCTATCATCGCCTCTATCTGGTAAAGCCTCTTAGTCTTAGTCTAACATCGCCCTCTATCTCTCTCTGGTAAAGCCTCTTAGTCTTAGTCTAACATCGCCTCTCTGGTAAAGCCTCTTAGTTTTAGTCTATCATCGCTTCTCTCTGGTAAAATCGACTCTTGTCTTAGTCTAACATCGCCTCTCTCTGGTAAAGCCTCTTAGTCTTAGTCTAACATCGGCTCTATCTGGTAAAGCCTCTTGGTCTTGGTCTAACATCGCCTCTATCTGGTAAAGCCTCTTGGTCTTAGATCTGGTAAAGACTCATCCGCCATCTCTCTGGTAAAAACCTCTTAGTCTTAGTCTATCATCGCCTCTATCTGGTAAAGACTCTTATTCTTAGTCTATCATCGCCTCCATCTGGAAAAGCCTCTTAGCTTAGTTAATCCTCTTCTGAGTCTTAGTCTATCATCGCCTCTATCTGGTAAATCCTCTTGGTCTTGAGTCTAACATCGCCTCTATCTGGTAAAGACTCTTAGTCTTAGTCTAACATCGCCTCTATCTGGTAAAAAGCCTCTTGTCTTAACATCGCCTCATCTGACTCTTAGTCTTAGTCTAACATCGCCTCTATCTGGTAAAGCCTCTTGGTCTTAGTCTATCATCGGCTCTATCTGGTAAAGCCTCTTAGTCTTAGACTATCATCGCCTCTATCTGGTATCATCGCCTCTATCTGTGGTGAAGCCTCTTAGTCTTAGTCTAACATCGCCTCTATGTGGTAAAGCCTCTTTGGTCTTAGTCTAACATTATCTGTCCTCTAGTCTTAGTCATCGCCTCTATCTGGTAAAGCCTCTTGGTCTTAGTCTAACATCGCCTCTATCTGGTAAAGCCTCTTTAGTCTTAGTCTATCATCGCCTCTATCTGGTAAAGACTCTTAGTCTTATTCTAACATCGTCTATCATCTTGCTCTATCTGGTAAAGCCTCTTAGTCTTAGTCTAACATCGCCTCTCTCTCTTAGTCTTAGTCTAAAATCGCCTCTTGGTCTTGGTCTATCATCGCCTCTCTCTGGTAAAGCCTCTTAGTCTCTCGCCTCTATCTGGTAAAAGTCTTAGTCTATCATCGCCTCTATCTGGTAAAGCCTCTTAGTCTTAGTCTAACATCGCCTCTCTCTGGTAAAGCCTCTTAGTCTTAGTCTAACATAGTCTATCATCTTAGTCTTAGTCTCATCTCTCTATCTGGTAAAGACTCTTAGTCTTAGTCTAACATCGCCTCTCTCTGGTAAAGCCTCTTAGTCTTAGTCTATCATCGCCTCTCTCTGGTAAAGACTCTTAGTCTTAGTCTATCATCGCCTCTATCTGGTAAAGCCTCTTAGTCTTAGTCTAACATCGCCTCTCTCTGGTAAAGCCTCTTAGTCTTAGTCTATCATCGCCTCTATCTGGTAAAGCCTCTTAGTCTTAGTCTAACATCGCCTCTCTCTGGTAAAGCCTCTTAGTCTTAGTCTATCATCGCCTCTATCTGGTAAAGCCTCTTAGTCTTAGTCTAACATCGCCTCTATCTGGTAAAGACTCTTAGTCTTAGTCTAACATCGCCTCTCTCTGGTAAAGCCTCTTAGTCTTAGTCTAACATCGGCTCTATCTGGTAAAGACTCTTAGTCTTAGTCTAACATCGCCTCTATCTGGTAAAGACCTCTTAGTCTAACATCGCTCTATCTGGTAATCATCGTCTCTAGTGGTAAAGCCTCTTAGTCTTATCTAACGCCTCTATCTGGTAAAGCCTCTTAGTCTTAGTCTATCATCGCCTCTCTCTGGTAAAGCCTCTAGTCTTAGACATCATCGCCTCTATCTGGTAAAGACTCTTGGTCTTAGTCTAACATCGCTCTCTCTCTGGTAAAGACTCTTAGTCTTAGTCTAACATCGCCTCTATCTGGTAAAGCCTCTTGGTGAAGTCTTAGTAGTCTATCATCGCCTCTCTCTGGTAAAGCCTCTTTAGTATCTTAGTCCTCTTCATCATCGCCTCTAAAAAACTCTGGTCTAAATTGCCCTCTTAGTCTTAGTCTAACATCGCCTCTCTCTGGTAAAGACTCTTAGTCTTAGTCTATCATCGCCTCTCTCTGGTAAAGCCTCTTAGTCTTAGTCTAACATCGCCTCTCTCTGGTAAAGCCTCTTAGTCTTAGTCTATCATCGCCTCTCTCTGGTAAAGACTCTTAGTCTTAGTCTATCATCGCCTCTATCTGGTAAAGCCTCTTAGTCTTGGTAGTCTAACATCGCCTCTCTCTGGTAAAAGCCTCTTGGTCTTAGTCTATCATCGCCTCTCTCTGGTAAAAGCCTCTTAGTCTTAGTCTAACATCGCCCCTCTCTGGTAAAAGCCTCTTAGTCTTAGTCTATCATCGCCTCTATCTGGTAAAGCCTCTTGTCTTAGTCTATCATCGCCTCTATCTGGTAAAGCCTCTTGTCTTAGTCTAACATCGCCTCTCTCTGGTAAAGACTCTCTATCTGGTCTTAGTCTTATCATCGCCTCTCTCTGGTAAAAGCCTCTGGTCTTGGTCTAATCGCCTCTTAAAGTCTTAGTCTAAAAGCATCGCCTCTATCTGGTAAATCATCGCCTCTTAGTCTTAGTCTAACATCGCCTCTATCTGGTAAAGCTCTCTCTGGTCTTAGTCTAACATCGCCTCTATCTGGTAAAGCCTCTTAGTCTTAGTCTAACATCGCCTCTATCTGGTAAAGCCTCTTAGTCTTAGTCTAACATCGGCTCTATCTGGTATTCTTAGTCTTGATCATCATCGCCTCTATCTGGTAAAGCCTCTTAGTCTTAGTCTAACATCGCCTCTATCTGGTAAAGCCTCTTGGTCTTAGTCTATCATCGCCTCTATCTGGTAAAGCCTCTTAGTCTTAGTCTAACATCGCTAGTCTCTCTGGTAAAGACTCTTGCCTAGTCTATCATCGCCTCTCTGGGTAAAGCCTCTTGGTCTTAGTCTAACATCGCTCTATCCTGGTAAGATCTTAGTCTTAGTCTCATCGCTCTCTGGTAAAGCCTCTTAGTCTTAGACATCATCGCCTCTATCTGGTAAAGCCTCTTAGTCTTAGTCTAACATCGCTCTCTCTCTTGGTAAAGCCTCTTAGTCTTAGTCTATCATCGCCTCTATCTGGTAAAGCCTCTTCTGGTCTTAGTCTTAATCATCGCCTCTCTCTGGTAAAGCCTCTTAGTCTTAGTCATCCTCTATCTGGTCTTTAGTCTATCATCGCCTCTCTCTGGTAAAGCCTCTTGGTCTTAGTCTATCATCGCCTCTATCTGGTAAAGCCTCTTGGTCTTAGTCTAACATCGCCTCTCTCTCTGGTAAAGACTCTTAGTCTTAGTCTATCATCCTCTATCCTCTATCTGGTAAAGCCTCTTAGTCTTAGTCTAACATCGCCTCTCTCTGGTAAAGCCTCTTAGTCTTAGTCTATCATCGCCTCTCTCTGGTAAAGACTCTTAGTCTTAGTCTATCATCGCTCTCTGGTATCTGGTCTATCATCGGCTCAAAAACATCTCTTAGTCTTAGTCTATCATCGCCTCTCTCTGGTAAAGCCTCTTGGTCTTAGTCTATCATCGCCTCTATCTGGTAAAGCCTCTTGGTCTTAGTCTAACATCGCCTCTCTCTGGTAAAGCCTCTTAGCCTCTTAGTCTTCTGGTAGTCTATCATCGCTCTATCTCGTAAAGCCTCTTAGTCTTAGTCTAACATCGCCTATCTCTCTGGTAAAGCCTCTTAGTCTTGGTCTATCATCGCCTCTCTCTGGTAAAGCCTCTTAGTCTTAGTCTATCATCGCCTCTCTGGTCTAAATCTCTTAGTCTTAGTCTATCATCGCTTGATCTCTATCTGGTAAAGCCTCTTAGTCTTAGTCTATCATCGCCTCTCTCTGGTAAAGCCTCTTAGTCTTAGTCTATCATCGCCTCTATCTGGTAAAGACTCTGGTCTCTCTGGTAAAGACTCTTGGTCTTGAATCATCGCCTCTTCTGGTAAAGCCTCTTATCTTAGTCTATCATCGCCTCTATCTGGTAAAGCCTCTTGGTCTTAGTCTATCATCGCCTCTCTCTGGTAAAGCCTCTTAGTCTTAGTCTATCATCGCCTCTATCTGGTAAAGCCTCTTGAGTCTTAGTCTAACATCGCCTCTCTCTGGTAAAGCCTCTTGGTCTTAGTCTAACATCGGTCTCTCTCTGGTAAAGCCTCTTAGTCTTAGTCTATCATCGCCTCTATCTGGTAAAGCCTCTTAGTCTTAGTCTATCATCGCCTCTATCTGGTAAAGCCTCTTAGTCTTAGTCTATCATCGCCTCTATCTGGTAAAGCCTCTTAGTCTTAGTCTAACATCGCCTCTTTGGTAAAGCCTCTTAGTCTAACATCGCCTCTCTCTGGTAAAGCCTCTTAGTCTTAGTCTATCATCGCCTCTATCTGGTAAAGCCTCTTAGTCTTAGTCTAACATCGCCTCTATCTGGTAAAGCCTCTTAGTCTTAGTCTATCATCGCCTCTATCTGGTAAAGACTTAGTCTTAGTCTAAATCGCCTCTCTCTGGTAAAGCCTCTTAGTCTTAGTCTATCATCGCCTCTATCTGGTAAAGACTCTTAGTCTTAGTCTATCATCGCCTCTATCTGGTAAAGTCTTAGTCTTAGTCTATCATCGCCTCTATCTGGTAAAGCCTCTTAGTCTTGGTCTAACATCGCCTCTATCTGGTAAAGCCTCTTAGTCTTAGTCTATCATCGCCTCTATCTGGTAAAAGCCTCTTAGTCTTAGTCTAACATCATCGCCTCTCTGGTAAAGCCTCTGGTCTTGAATCATCGCCTCTTCTGGTAAAGTCTTAGTCTTATTCTAACATCGCCTCTAAGCCTCTCTTTTTAGTAGTCTAACATCGGCCTATCTGGTAAAGACTCTTAGTCTTAGTCTAACATCGCCTCTATCTGGTAAAAGCCTCTTAGTCTTAGTCTATCATCGCCTCTCTCTGGTAAAGCCTCTTAGTCTTAGTCTATCATCCCTCTATCTGGTAAAGACCTCTTAGTCTTAGTCTAACATCGCCTCTCTCTGGTAAAACCTCTTAGTCTTAGTCTATCATCGCCTCTATCTGGTAAAGACTCTTAGTCTTAGTCTAGTCTTAGTCTATCATCGCTCTATCTGGTAAAGCCTCTTGGTCTTAGTCTAACATCGCCTCTATCTGGTAAAGCCTCTTAGTCTTGTAGTCTATCATCGCCTCTATCTGGTAAAGCCTCTTAGTCTTAGTCTAACATCGCCTCTCTATCTGGTAAAACTAGTCTATCATCGCCTCTATCTGGTAAAGCCTCTTAGTCTTAGTCAACATCGCCTCTATCTGGTAAAGCCTCTTAGTCTTAGTCTATCATCGCCTTTCTCTGGTAAAGACTCTTAGTCTTTAGTCTAACATCGCCTCTCTCTGGTAAAGCCTCTTAGTCTTAGTCTAACATCGCCTCTCTGGTAAAGACTCTTAGTCTTAGTCTAACACATCATACTCTATCTGGTAAACTCATCGCCTCTATCTGGTAAAGCCTCTTAGTCTTAGTCTATCATCGCCTCTATCTGGTAAAAAGCCTCTTAGTCTTAGTCTATCATCGCCTCTATCTGGTAAAGCCTCTTAGTCTTAGTCTAACATCGCCTCTATCTGAGTAAAGCCTCTTAGTCTTAGTCTATCATCGCCTCTCTCTATCTGGTAAAGCATCTCTTAGTCTTAGTCTAACATCGCCTCTTCTGGTAAAGACTCTTAGTCTTAGTCTAACATCGCCTCTATCTGGTAAAGCCTCTTAGTCTTAGACTATCATCGCCTCTATCTGGTAAAAGCCTCTTAGTCTTGGTCTATCATCGCCTCTATCTGGTAAAGCCTTGGTCTTGGTCTAACATCGCCTCTATCTGGTAAAGCCTCTTGGTCTTAGTCTATCATCGCCTCTATCTGGTAAAGCCTCTTAGTCTTAGTCTAACATCGCCTCTCTCTGGTAAAAAGCCTCTTAGTCTTAGTCTAACATCGTCTATCTAACTTGGTCGCCTCTATCTGGTCTCTTGGTAACTATCATCGCCTCTTAGTCTTAGTCTATCATCGCCTCTATCTGGTAAAGCCTCTTAGTCTTAGTCTAACATCGCCTCTCTCTGGTAAAGCCTCTTAGTCTTAGTCTATCATCGCCTTTCTCTGGTAAAGACTCTTAGTCTTAGTCTAACATCGCCTCTCTCTGGTAAAGCCTCTTAGTCTTAGTCTATCATCGCCTCTATCTGGTAAAGCCTCTTAGTCTTAGTCTAACATCGCCTCTTTAGTCTATCTGTAAAGACTCTTAGGTCTTAGTCTAACATCGCCTCTATCTGGTAAACTTCTTGGTCTTAGACTATCATCGCCTCTATCTGGTAAAGCCTCTTAGTCTTAGTCTAACATCGCTCTCTCTGGTAAAGCCTCTTAGTCTTAGACTATCATCGCCTCTATCTGGTAAAATATCTTAGTCTTAGTCTTACATCGCCTCTCTGGTAAAGCCTCAGTCTTAGTCTATCATCGCCTCTATCTGGTAAAGCCTCTTAGTCTTAGTCTAACATCGCCTCTATCTGGTAAAGACTCTTAGTCTTAGTCTAACATCGGCTCTATCTGGTAAAGCCTCTTAGTCTTAGTCTAACATCGGCTCTATCTGGTAAAGCCTCTTAGTCTTAGTCTAACATCGCCTCTATCTGGTAAAGCCTCTTAGTCTTAGTCTAACATCGCCTCTATCTAGTATAGCCTCTTAGTCTTAGTCTAACATCGGCTCTATCTGGTAAAGACTCTTAGTCTAACATCGGCTCTATCTGGTAAAGCCTCTTAGTCTTAGTCTAACATCGCCTCTATCTGGTAAAGCATCTTAGTTTATTAACCTCTCTTCTCTTTGGCAAAATTCTTTTATATGTCAATCAATTTTTTTTCTTAATGCCAGGGCGATTAAAATTAAAGAATTAGATTTAAGCTTTCAGCATTTTTAAAATCAAAACCTCAAGAATGAAATCAGAAACGAATGGAATTTCCACCCCAACACTCATGGATTGCTTAATCACTTTATCCCGTGTACAGACATTTTTAATATATTTTTCCTGAAGATCACTAATCGTTTACGAAATATTTTTTTTGTTTTTTTTTTAATCAAAATCTTTAGGCATCTTACATTTTGGAGTATTAATCTGTCTCTACTGAACTTCTTTCGCATGGCAATACCTATTTTGTTAGTTTTACTATTTTAACTATTTCGGAACCAAATTTGTAATTTTTTGTCTGTCATGAAAACGAGAAAACATCTTTCTATACTAAAATTTCAGTCATATAAATAATTATATATTTTTTATGTGCATGATTTTTGAGACAGTATTGCAGTTTGGGGGATAAAATTTGAGGTTTTATAGATTACTACTCTGTTTATATACAAACTCATTTGTCTGGGACTCATAGGGCATATATTTGTAGTGTAACTTTAACTAGGCGGATATGATTTTAAGCAAATAAATTGTTTATAAAAATCATATCCACATGGTTCCGCTATTAAATACCTTTATTTTAGAAAACAATAAACTACAATTTAATATGGGATTAATTTTCACTGTAATTGATTTTGATAAAAATGTATATAAGTTAATTTGTAACTCTATTCGGTTTTATCTCTTAACCATGAAAATCAATTTCTGAACAATACTTTTCTCAGAAATTCACATCGGAACCAAAAATGTTTTAAAATTAAGTAGAATGGAATGCGTGAATTGTGTATCGGTCATCAAGGTGGTGAGTGAAATCGGAGTGCCGAGTTCAAATTCCAGCCTAATACGTTGCAATAACATTCGCATATATACCGTTGGGGTAGGGCCCATCTCCTTTCTCTACAGCTATAGGTTAAGTAGCCGGTTAAACGGGGTTCTTTAAGCTTTGATGCCACATAATCCCGGCGATAGACAACTTTGAATTTCAAACTGTGGAAAAGGCAACGGGAAACCACTGCCCAGTCTTTCGCAAAAAAGTAATAGCAGTTCACATATAATGAAAGAGTTGAACCAGTAAGTCATGATTATCTAGTCTTTGCATTAAAAATAATTAAACTCTATCAGCTTGTGACATCATTTTAAGTACAAAAGGTTTACCTGCTACTGAAGGTGACTCTGATCTCTGAACAATACTGTTTGAATTTCATAGTTGTGTTGTCATATCCTGCTATGGCAACAGAAAACAAGTTTGAGTGAAATTATCAATACGGGGACTGCATTAGAGAGGCATTGAAAAAGAATGCAGTAGAAAGGTAAGTAATATTAAGAATGCAGTATACTAAATAATACAAAAATCTAAGAAAGGTCACGGAAAAATAACCTGTTTTGAAAAACAATTAAAAATTTTCATTCTAATTTTAATGATTAATAAACTGAAATGTATTAACTTATTTTTAGAGAAAAGTATCAAACAAAATATCCTTACAAGACACCATAGGAAAATGTATTGAAAATATCATGAAATGTTTGAAAAAATGTCAGCCAATATCTCTGGTCATTGACTTCTAACATGTTCTTAAATGACAGGAAATTGCAGTGTTCAAGTTATGTTCCAGTTGAACAGCACTCAAGAGATTATTATCAGACTAACCTTTTAAGATTGGCCTTTTGCTGTCGCTGATATTTAAGCCTCCGAACATTGTTTATCTATCGGAAAGTCATTATCGGTCGAATGTTGAATGAGGGAGGCGTTCTGCGATTAATGGTTGCTGTTATTGGCCACACGACATCGCCAACCATTTCGATCGGAACAAGGTCAATTTTCAAACCGTTTTTATTTTCTCCTTCCAACTGTCACTCAAATGATATGCTGACTGTGTGTTGTCATGCGTACTACTTCTCAAGCAAAAAAAAAAGGTAATTTTATGAGTCATTGTAGCTCGTTCGTCACAATGAAAAAGGTTTGAAGCTTTAATTGGGTGACAAATGATTTTAATCAGACGTCATGGAAACTATGTTTTTATGAAGGGAAAAACAAGGCAAATGCCCAAAGTGATGCAGTTTTAAAATAAACCTAATAAAAATTCTTATTTTAACTATAATTTATCACACCATATATAAAAAAAAAAATTTATATCTAATAACAATGTTTTTTTCTAATTGGTGTGCATGTAAAATAATTTAGTTGTTATCTTTTTACATTTAAATAAGATAGATATATAAAAAATTTTAAAGAGTTACAAAGCAAGAAATAATCTGTAAATGAGAAACAGTTGTACAACATATTTTCTCCTGGCAGTAATATTTCTGTACAAAACAGTAACACACAGGTAAATGCCCGTGCATGATTAAATATAATTAGAATGAGTTTGGAAACAGTGGCATCCAAATGAAACCGGAAAAGAATTTTAATTATTTGTGTAGTGTAATAATAATTGAACGTGTAGCGGATGACAGAAGAAGTCTTCCCGAAAATAAGCAACGTATTAAGACATAGAAATATCTGGTTAGAAAGAAAAAAATAAAAAGATCACCGAACTGCGATGTAATGGCAATGATTCTAGTATACGGCAATAAATGCTGAACAATTTTCTGACAGAAAAAGAAGAGACTCAGATATGGTTCTACATAGGCGGCTGGTAAGAACCACGAAAACAACGAGGGAATTTCTAAAGAAAATGGGAACTATAACTCACTTAATACTTGAAATATAATTTTAAGGCATGCTATATTTATCAGGTGGTGCTCAATATCCGAGATAGAGCGGATGTAAATATAAAAGGGAACATTGAAGTCAACATTCAGGGGCGACAGGGTGTTTCATGCTAAACGCAGTCATCAGGCCACGCGCGCACACGCACGCACGCACACACACACACATATATATATATATATATGTATATATATTCTTCATACCTCATTCTCTGAAGAAGCTCTAATAAAATAAAGCATATTAGATGGATAAAAGTTTTCTATTTGTTCTTTTTGAGATGAACTTGTCAGAACACTAAAAAAAGAAACGGAAAAAAGATCTTAGAATAACTGAAATAAAATGAAAACAATTATCAAATTTATACTTTGAGAATCTTTTGCAATGAATTCCCCCCCAAAAATTGTACTGCAGTCATCAATGCTGATGGAGGATATTTTGACGCGAGCAAAATGTAATCATAAAATGCTTTTTTTAAAATCATAAAATGCTTTTTCTTTAAATCATATAATGCTTTTTTTCTTTTTATCATGACAAAATTTCTAAAAACACATCATGTTTCACTTTTTAACCATGTATAATAAATTTCTCTTATTTAAAGTACAAAACAATTATTTAGGGCCAATTTAAAAAAAAAATTACCAATGGTCACCTCAAACATTTTAACTGTAGTTTATAGGAAAGGCGTAGAATCGTGGACCCCATATAGGTCCTATATCAATCAGCAGAATATT